AGAAAAGAGCAAAGAGTGGAAGGTGTTGTACGTTATTTATACTATACAGTTATACAGTAGAAAAAAAAGCTTCAACAGCGTTCCTTCACGCCGTGTTCTTCACTCCACACACCGTGCTTTTGTCCCAAAAACCGACCCAGTCGACCCCGTCGGCCGAGCGGTGCTGACCATGGAGTGAACACCACCTATATAGATACCTATATAGATACTTAGTTGTCGAACATTGTCATCAAGGGGCCTATACAAAATAGGCCATGCCAACCACTTCCATGATGCTTTCAGGGAGTGGTATGCCTATGTGTTTTGGTCCGCAGTCTGATGACGGCAGTCAATTCCGCGGGGAGGGGTAGAGGTCTCATGATGCTGCGGGTAAACGTGCCCCCAGGCCGTTTTCTTCAGTTCTCAGGGCCATGATTCCTTTCCTGAGCTAGTGGCAAGACGAGCAACATGAGACATATGCTTCGTACATGTGAAACATGTGACGATGTTGAATCCCTGGCGAGCAGCAATCCGTGCAATCCAAGTGCTGTGCGTGGAACCATGTGTTTCCATGCGTTTTGTGCTGATTGACTTCACAACCTTAATGTTACTAAACGGACCAACTCCGTATGTGTTGTGTGACGTTGCACCTGCACTTGGCTACTGGGATTTAGATCCATGCATCAAGTTTCTTCCTGGACACCTGCATCAAACCCGACAACAAAGAATAGTGGGACGCTGCCACCTCGACCCGAGTGTTCCAGAACATCCCGTTTTCCTTATGTTTTGGTAAAGCCGGAAGTGGATCGCAGCACCGGAATCACTTCGACATGAACAAAGGCTGTCGTTCGGGATCCAATGGGTGAGTGTTCGCACTCCAAAACGACGATGTTCCCTCGTTGTCCAAGTCAGTCGACTGGCCGAGGTCTTTCGCCATTCGTTGAAGGAGTGTTTGGAGCTCCTGACCTTCTACCTGAGACACAACGAGCAGCCGCGGAGCTTAGATTCGAAGCCCAGAGTTCTTCCATCTTCTTCCAGAGCCCAACAAGGCCTTCAGGCCGACTCCGTCGGCCAAGGCTTGGACAAACCTGGCCGAAAAAGCCACTGAAAGACTTGGGCGAATTCAGTCGGTTCTTCTTTGTGCTCCAACTATCAATACCCCAAGGATCGCCACAAAGCCCTGTCTATGACGACGGTCGTCCAACATTCATTGGTTTGTGAATGTTTGTGATGGGCGGTGGATATCCGTTTCCTTTTTTGACACCTGAACTTTCGACTTCTTCCCCGAAACCATAATATATATATATATATCCCGAAACCAAAAAGAAGCTTGAAGAAGCCTCCCTCTTCGCCCTTCCCCAACCTCTCATGAAACCTGGAGTCTCCCAATGTCAAGCTCCCGGAGGGCCTGCGCATCTCCCCTCCGAGGTCCTTGCACGAAGAGCTCGGCATCACCCGGACGAAGGACAAGGATCTCTCCCTGGAGAGTCCGAAGCCAAACCTGGAGAGTCCAAGAAAAAGAGTCGACCAGGTCGTCCAAGAACATGAGCAAGAGAACTGGTCTGCTTTTTAAGGGATTGAGATGACTCATAGACTCTCATTCGTCCAGAGGTTTGATAGACTCACAGATTCGTGTGAAGGTCTCTTCAAGCGTCTTGCAAACAACAGTCCCTTTTGAGGACTTGGTCAGCCCATCGTACCATAGCAAAAAATTACATCAACTGCATCAACAGAGTTTTTTCTCACCATGTGTGTTTTTCTGGTCCGTGTTCCTGCGCCCGATGGTCACTCCCATGGTAATGCTCACCCATGGCCATGTGCTTTGGTGACCGGTCACCACTCGTCACCGTTCCTGTGCCTCCCACGGCCGAGGGCAAGACCGCTACGCACGCGTGCTGGCGGCTTCTTTGAGCGCGTTGGGAGAGCTGGTGCCACTGAGAGAGAAGGGCTCGGTTGCGGAGAGAGTGGAGCGGAGGAGAGGACGTTTGGATCAGGGGTGACACTGTAGTTTTTTTGGTGTATGAATTTTGGTATATGGTCCATGGCATGGCATATGGTTTGGTTGCTTAGGACTTGTTGCAGGACATATAGGACGTGAGACTTAAAGTCTGAAAGACGAATTTAAAGGACCATGTAGGGTACCACAATGGGATCGATCCAGGTTCCCTTATAGACTTGGAAACACTGTCTGAGGAGTAGCAACCTCCTTCGCACCGGAGAGCATGAGATCTGTTCTTCTTCGGGGCGGGTCGGATGTGGCTGCATCGAATGTTTTCAATTTGGTACTAACAAGAAGCTACTATAGTAGCAAAGGGTATTACTGCTAGTAACAAGAAGCTTAGGAACAAAGGGCATCGCTATCAGCAGCAAGACGCTACTAGTAGCTCCTGGCATTACTACTAGGAGCAGGAAGCTACTAGGAACAAAGGGCATCGCTATTAGGAGCAAGACGCTACTAGTAGCTCCTGGCATTACTACTAGGAGCAAGAAGCTACTAGGAACAAAGGGCATCGCTATCAGGAGCAAGACGCTACTAGTAGCTCCTTAATTGGTACTGAAGATTCAGATTTGATGTAAGCTTTTGAGGTTTCGAGAACAGAGGACGCTCCAATTACTGAGTTCAAAAAATGTGCTTGGTACATGGCTCGCTTGCCTGGTGCACTTGGATCTTTGACAGAAAAAGAAAGGAAAGAGACTTGTTTCGTGATTAATTATAAGTTGTTTTTAATGTACATCTAGCATAAATTAGTTTGTTTGCTTATCATAAGAACCCAAGCTTGTTTTGATTCCAAGTTGCCGGGGATTTCCAACCTCAAGACCAACCTCACCCCATGATGTTGCGAACAGAACGTTTCTAGAATCATCACCCAAAACTGCGAGAGACCTGGCCCGGTGATGCAAGCTGTTGGTCCAGGTGCACGTGTGTGCTCCCAAAGGGGGAGCAGTAGAAGGCGCAGCATGGTGCAGCTCCGAAGAGCTTTGGGTGTGGGAGAGCATGGAAGAGCACCCTCCAATGCAATGATGTGGGGGGATGTCCATCAAGATTTTTATATTTCGATGGCGTTTGGAAGTGAACAGAAGTTTGTTCCAGGACGAAGACATTTCTCCATCAAATGGCACTTGTCTCTTAGCCTTAAACTGGGTACCAATTGTGGGTAGATTTGAAGGAGGATGCCTTTCCATGTACCATGTACTCCAGATCTACCCGGACCTGGATTGACAAACAGGCTGTTTTTAATGGTTGTATCCCCAAACGGTCTTAAGTTCTTGCATGTAAGAGTCTCGGTTTAGGATTATATATCAGTTGACAGAACTCCTCGTAGTTCGCTCTGCAAGGTTTCATTGGTACCCTGGACATTGTCCCTTATTTTTGCATTGATAGCCAAACGCTTAGTGATTGTTGGGACACCGGCTCGCCGCAGTGCCTCTATTGATTTGTATTGACTGCCCAGGAGTTCGGTGGATAACCTTGAACCTCTTGAGGGGGATTGGGGACACCCCACTAAACATCACTAACCACGGCCGTTTTCGTTCGGACACGGCCGCACCTTTGCGCACCATCTCTATACTTTTTTTTCAGCCCAGGTGGAGTGATCTCGGTGAACCTTTATATATATGTGGGAGACCCCTCAAGGACTTCTGGGAAAAGCAAAATCACGCTTCGTATATAAATCCATTGGTTGGGAGGTCCCCTTGTTTGAATACAAAACCCGGCTCACACTTGTCCGTGTCACTGTCCCCAACCTCGTTCCGCTTGACGTCACCGAAATGGGTCGTAACAAGCATCGCTACCTTTAAACGGAGGACCGGAAGAGGGGGCGGCCTGCTGGGGGTTGCGGGTTCGAATTGAGTTCCTGGGACGTCTTGAAAAACGTCGAAATCCCAAATCAAAGGGGATCAAAGACACCTAAGAGCTTGATGCGCCGTGCGTTTTGTGTTTGGCGTTGAAAGAACTGGTGGAGCGATTTCAGCGGTCCACGTGTTTTCTTGTCAAGAGCCCTGGTCCCTTGCTTGTCAGGTAGTTCATCAGTCATATTTGCCCTGGGCAAATCGTTGTATGTCTTGTGAAACTCATAGAACTCATAGGCATCAAACATCACTGGAGTCCTGCTCTTGGACCGTGCTTGTTTCCCTTCTGGTGCCCAACGAGCTGTTGAAGCACATCGACGCACAATACAGTCAGTGTCGTTTTCTTTTTGAGGCTCTTTGACCCGACAAATAATACTCAGGTCGCTTGCGGGGTTGACTCTTGCTTTCAGACTCAGCCACCTCCTGCTGCGCAGCTGTTGAGTGGGCAGATGTATAAATTATCAAATATGTTGGATATTTTACTATATGTTCAATGGTAAGGCGTGACAAGAAGCCAGGACGATAAGCATGAGGAATTACAGTACTATCACATGAGCCAGGACGTTGTAGTTCTGGGTTTATTGACTGAGAACCACACGCCGCAATCCAAAGCACTCAGGATTTGTGGAAACAGTGACTAGAGGAAACCCTCTTGTATACCAGGTGTTTAAATGTTTGCTACAGATGTGATAGGAACTTTTTGGACGGTAACTCCTGAGTCAATGTTGCACAGACCGCAATGCAACAATAATGGACAAGAATGGTTTGGAGTTTGGACTATATGACTATGTCATTACTCCATCCCTTGCCCTTGTTGGGGAATGTTACCTCAATCGTCTCAATCGGCCAGATTATTGGACTGGTGATCCATCCACTTTGGACATTTGCTGCAGCTTTGAAGGTACCCCAGATATGTACTTCCTGCAAACTGAAAAAGCCATCCCCCAAAACATACACTTTGCACGAAAGACGAGAATGGAAGCACCATTTGCACATTCCCTCGTGCCTTGTCCACAATTCCTTTCGCAAGTATATCAACTTGCGAACGAAGCACAGCCACGGAAAGATCAAGTACCTGGTCACTTCATAAAGATCCAAGTGAGCACCAGTCATTGCTACCTGGAACCCCCAAAACCATCCAAAACCCTTATAATCACCTGGATGCTTCCCACCTGGAACCGACCGGAACTCTGAGACCGGAGACCGCGCTGCCGCGCCATGGAGCTTCTGGTGGCGATGGGCTTTCCCGCTCGCCTGGCCCAGCAGGCGCTGAAGTTGTGCGACCACGACCCACAGCGGGCGACCGACGCCCGGCGGGAGCGTGCGCAGAGCCGGAGGTCACCGGTGCCCCTTTGTTTGGAGAGGTGGAAAGAGGTAGAGTGGACATGTGCGAGAGGCAAACAAACATGCAAGTAAATGTCTATTCTATTTTGCATTCATTTCGGTAACATTATATATATATATCATCTTCGGAAGATTGAATAACTATTGACGTTGGAATAAAGTACCTTGTTTCTTCTCATTGGCACAAATGAAGCGTTGATCGTTGGTCTTTAAATGGACCATCAAGGTTCACGGCGTAGCTGACGCGTAGCTGACACGTAGCCGACACGTAGCTGTGGGGTTAAAGGCACCCCCAATGCTCGTATAGGATTATATAGGGCTGATTTATTGTTGACATCACTTTGCCGTATCAAGCAGTCCAAAAAGAAATCTGTTGCGATGATTGCCATGGTCATGTTTTCTTGGTGCCACCCCTTGCATGCCTTTTTGGGTGCTACTTCGCAAGCGTGAAGCAAGTCAGCCTCCCTTCTGGTGAGGATTGCCGGTGTTGTTGGCAGGGTCACAAGTTCAGTTTGCCCACATTGTTTGCCTCAAATCTTAGATGAGGATCCATGAAGTGAATCAACATATTTTCTGTTGTGCGTGTGTTAAGCCTAAACTCTTCAATGAGCAATTTGGACGTTTCCGGAACTCCATTGGCACAGTAGATGCCAATAGGTTGTACATTTGATATTCTTGTCGGGACCGTCAGCCCTGAAGACGGACTCCTGCTGATGTTGGTGTCCCGAAGCCAGAGACAAACATTGTGGCGACACTGCAACAAGAATTTGTCATGTCTCAGCTGCCGGAACTTAGAGTTCCAAAGATCACATCTTTGGATCCTTTGGCCGCCAAACTGTGTGTTTCCCATGAATCATCATGAAGCCAATACACCACAGTCTGCCTCCAACCTGTGACACATCAGGTCTATGTCTATCCTGGTTCCGATCCGCTCAGCCACGGCCCCTTCGACGAACGCGGCTCAGGACATGCTCCTGAACAACCCACCCCCTCTGCCGGACGAGACGGAGCCGACGAGTGGAGCGGCTCCGTTCTCGTCTCCCGTCGAAGTGGATGAAGACCCACTGAAGGAATTGCGGCTGATGGGCTTTGAGGAGTCCAGCGCACGAGGAGAGTGTCCCACACCTCGGACGGACAGCTGTCCAAACGCGTTGCTTTGCTGAGCGCCGTTTCCGCTCGTGGGGCATGGGCCCACACCTCGATTCTTTAGGTCCGGGACAGACATCAGCGTGAATTAGATGGAGGGCTGGAGGGTCCGACCTTTAAAATTATATGATTCATTATGATTCTAATTCAAAGCATTTTAAAGGTTGGAAAAGGTAAAAAGAGAGATAATGATTCAGGTGTTTGATTGAAATCAGAGAATTCTGTGGGAAGGGAGTATATGGCTAGAGCCCAAAGAAGTGTATACTACATGCAATGAGACAATGTCACACGATGTCACACGCATTCACAAACATATGATTTTGACACCGAAAAGGTACCTGTTTGAGGGGTTCGAACTTGTCACGAAAGCTAGCTGTAGTCGGTTTACACCAAACACCTGGTTTACACCAAACCACGGCTTGCACCAACCACCGTTTACACCAAACCACGGTCTACACCAACCACAGTTTACGCCAAAGCACAGTTTACACCAACCACTGTTTACACCAACCATGTTTACACCACACCACGTTTTACACCAACCACCGTCGAAACCAAGCCACGCTTTACACCAAACGACGGTTTACACCAAACCACGGTCTACACCAACCACCATTTACACCAAACCACGGTCTACACCAACCACGGTGCACACCAAAGCACGGTTTACACCAAGCAGGGTCTACACCAACCACCGTCTACACCAACCACGGTCTACACCAACCACGGTTTACACCAAATCACGGTTTACACCAAGAGAAAACATTTTTGTTGAGATCCCAGCGGTGATTGTTCACTGTTTGGCATATTTGTTGTTGCGGTTGTTGGTCAATCGTGCATTTGCTGTCTGCTGCTGCTGCTGCTGCTGGTTGTTGTTCCTGCTGCTGTTGCTGGGGTGGTTGTGTGTTTCCTGTGTTGGGGTTGTATTGGGGGGGTACTGTTTGGGCACTCTCCTCCTTTGTCCTCCACCATATGCTATTGTACCGTATCCTTTGCTTTGTGCTGCGCTCCATTGTGGTAAATACTATAATTCGACTGAGTTGGACTCTACTCTATCATATTGTATCGCATTGTGTACATAGCACATATAATTTACTATCATTTACTGTGTGTTGTTTAATTTCTGGAACGTACATTTTAAGGGGGGGCAACTTGCATTCAACAATGCCTGCAGTTTGCCATTTGTTATTATGTTTCATTTTTTTTTGCTGCCAATGCATTGTATGGCATTGCGGTATATACTAGCGCACGGTATTGTACTCGATTGAGTGGAATGTGTCTAGCCTAAAGTTTTTGTGCTTTTGAATCCTCCTTTAAAAGGGACATGATTAGAATTTAACTTTTCACAAGCTGTCAATGTCTTCACACTAGTAGTAGTAGTAGTAGTAGTAGTAGTAGTAGTAGTAGTAGTAGTAGTAGTAGTAGTAGTAGTAGTGATGAACAAGTCTCAACACACAAACAGTTCCATTGAGAAGTCAATATGTTGCATGGCATGGTCTTGTGGGGTTTCCAAGTTAAAGATGCGATATAAGAACGGCGGTTTGTGGCATACAATGTTGGAACGCAAAACCCAATTGCCTTGAACACACCACAACCAATCCAAAACAGTTTGTATGTGTTGGTTCTTACAGTCTGACAGCAGTGATTTCTCAACTATTTATGTGTCCAATGTTGTCTTGCCCGTTGTTCCCAACCATCATCAACATTTTTGGGGGTGGCTGTTTGAACCTAACATGAATGGGTTTGCGCCAGTCAAACCACCGTCAGGAGCGCTCGTGGCGGCTAGCGGTTCGCTGGATTTGGCCATCAATTTGCTCATTGATGAGGCGTATCTGGACATCAGGACTTGCCAATCTGGTTCAATGCTACCTCTACAAGACTTGTTGATGGTGAAGATATGCATGATTCAGCATTATGAGGCTGAGATTGGAAGAAACGGGGAGTGAAAAGAACTACCCAAGGAGTGAACGGGTTTCCAATTTGGAGTGTCTTTGAATTTCATCCAGTGAAATGGAGTCCCCCTTCGACGTGGAACCTTTAACCGCGACAGATGGCCGTGGTATGACAGCTCTTGAAGACGTTCGTTGAGGTTTCCCAACCTGGTGAGCCATGTCGTCGGGGTGGGCATGCGGCAGGTCTACCCTCACACAGCACAGGGACCCTCGTGGATGGCCTGACCCCTAGGGACGCGAGTTTCGACAGACCAGGTGGCTTCCACTTCTATCGCTAGGGATCCAAGTATCTTGTCAGGTGATTGGAGACACTGTTGTGTAGGTTTGGAGGGTCCAAGTACCTTCTGAGAAGGTACGACTGGATCCCTAGGGTATGTTTGTGAGTTGCCGTGTTTTTGCGGTTGGCCGGTCACCGGCCTCGTGGACCGAGAGAGGGCACATAGCAATGAGAGGCGGTCTTCGTTTGAGTTCACCTCTTGGGAACTGTAAAGGTTGCTGTTTCCTGAGGAGGAAGGGGGTTTCATTTCTGCTGGAATTCCCTCAGAAGGCAGATGCAAGAGGGCACAAGACTTTATAGCGACCTGAGCCTCCAGGAGATATGGGTCTCAGTGGACCCCTCAAGGGACCCTCCACAGGGACCCTCATGGTGTTTCACTCTCAGTCAATGCAAGGCCATGTAATAGTTGGAATTTTGAAGAATTTGGAGAAGATCCCTATCACCCCTTTCAGCCAACAAAACTCTCCAGATTGTGTTTCGATAAGGCCTTTCTTGCCTTAGGGTCCTAAAACCAGTCTCGTAGTTCATTGAGGGTCCACATTGATTGAGGTGACGCAGCGATCACTCTATCACTACAGTATGTGTCTTGGACTATGTGTGTCACGTGTGCAATCCGCTGGTGCCTCGCAGGCTGGTGCCTCCACCGCTTCTATGTCCGGAGGTGTTGTTGAGGTGAGATGGGATGACCTGAGGAACCACAAGGTGTGGACAGTCATCTGGCCCTTGGCCTTTTGGAACCCCAGGCATCACCGTGGCATAAACAGGGGTGAACGTGCAAATGTTGTGGTGTCTGTGAGTGATCGGCTTTTCTGCCGGTAAATCTGGATCCAAATATTCTTTGGTTGTGTTTCTGGTGCGTTCCCGAAAGGGTGGATCTGATGGGTCTGGAAGATTTCACTTTGCTTTGAAGGTGGCGAGTGCCACAGTTGCTCTTGCACGTGCTTTGAGCTAAGGGCGCATAGATTTTCAGCATGTGTTGAACCGTTTCAGACTGTTTGCATGGTGTAACCGTGACGACCTCAAGAGCTGCAGATTTGCAAAGCGCCCGGCAAAGCGCCTGGGGTTGGTAGATGGTTCATTTTCTTTGACTCTGATCTCGGACTACTGGCTAGCTACAAGTTCTTCAAAGTGAACAAGTTCTTTCAGAATGACACATCCTCAGCCCTTGAGTTTTTTGATGCCCCAGCCCTTTCATGCAGGTATTTTTTGTTAGAGGGCTTCAACATTCAACATTCAGTCAGTATTGTATGGAATGTGCATCATTCAGTGTTTTGTGACATGTGCAGATTGCCACTCTTGAAGGGGAAAAAGGATTGGTTCCCAACAACATGGCTGGAGCGGGGGTTCCACTTGGTGTGGTTGATGGCTACCTCCTGCAAGTCCCACAGATTCCCCTACCAGGGAACAGTTGCCGCTGCCTCCAGCCATGTGGAAGAGGAGCGATGAGCCATGCAGCACTTTCTCAAGAATTCCTTCTTTCTAAACTTTGCGCCAGCAACAAATCCCTCTTCATTTGGAGTCTGGATGGACAATGATGGACTGACAATGGACATGCTCATTTGTTGGAGTCCAGAAGTTCACTCGGTTCACTGTCACTCGAAGAAAACGTCCAGAGAGACTGCCGCTCAGTGCAGGAGGAACTGGAGCCGCCTGAACCACCGAAGAAGCGCGCCAAGCAGTCGAACCGTGTGCGGCCGTCTTCGGCGGAGTGTGCGACTGCATCTCATGGGCGGCAGGAGTGTGTGACTGAGAGACTGAGGAGCATCAAAGGGGGCAGAACCCCAACCACTGAGCAGTTCATCTCTCATTAGTCTGCTATATCCAGTTGTATATGCTAGAGTGGGTGAAAGGCTTTGATCAATGGCCAATGGATGCCAATGGCCTGGTTTTCAGGGTGAAGGAGAAGAGCCAGAGAGCTTAAACTCAAGTCCACAGATCATGAGGAGAAGGTGGCTAAGGCTTGTGGTTTAAACACGTTGAAGCAATGTAACATATATTAACCGTTCAATCCCGATATAGTAAAAATATGTATATAATATAATATATATATACATATAATCCCCGTGAACAAAAACCGTCTAAGATCAGGACCTTAAGCATCCATGTTTAGTCTAAAAAAGTCCAGTCCAAAAGAGGAACTTAGCGTGGCTGATTTTAGACCAGAGGGACCAAAGACACAAGAACATGTTGAGAAGGTTGGTGCTGCTGATGTTTTAGAGAAATAAACATTTTGAGTTTGGTCAATCAAACATATCAGGTCCTTTGATTCTATAGCGGTTTTAGGCTTGAAGAGGTTGTGCAGTTGATTCTAGAAAGAACTATGTTGTTTTTTGCAGTCCTTGGCTCTGCAAATGGTTTACCATCCATGCCAGTCCTAGAAGACGACCAATTTAGATCAATTTAGAAGAGAATACCCAATTTCAACCACTGTCACTCCAGTCTCAATACACAGCCACGCATTCGTTGTTTCTTGTTTGTTATTTGATTTTTTTTCCAACCCTGCCCAAGACCTTGTGTCCCCAATTTTAGAGATGTATTTTAGGACAGGTTCACCAATAAAACCTTGGCGTCTTTCAGGCAGAGTCATAAACAGCATAGCCCTCAAAGAATTGGAGGATTTGGGTACACAAGTTGTGTCTTGAATCAGCCACCCTTCGAGGGCCTGAGGAATGACAAGGCCCCTGTAGCTACTCTAGAATCAGGGGGTATCTCATCCCGTAGATGTCAATATCTTGTTGCAGTGGCTAGTATGCTCAAGCCCCTTGATTCTATAGAAGCCATATATTGCCTATATCTTTTTTTGACATATCTGTTTGTTCTTGGGTGCTCGATTCTCATTTTCTATGTGCTCTTGATTCTTTACCACATTTTCTTTGCTGGAGGCTATGTCCACAGATTTAGGTTTCTAAAGTGGGCTGCGCCTACCCCTCAAATCTGCATGGGGATCATATATATATATATATATATATTGAGTTATATTATATAGTAGTTATTTGTCATTCTTGCGCCACGTTCGCCTCGCTGACACCTCTCTTTCCATCCGCCGGCTTGCAGGACCCCCCCGACGCGCCCTCAGATGCACCGTGCGACAGCGCGGCGTCGACGCTGCCGTCCCTGGCACAGGGGCTGTGTTTTGGGCCGAGCGCCTTTGGGCGGATCGAGCGTGCGCGGCCCAGCGGCGGATGGCTTGAGCTGGAACAGAAGGAAGTGGCCAGGTGGTTTGGAGAAGAAAAGGGAGGGATAGGCGGGATTTAGGGGCAGGGCGGGTGTAGAGACCTTGGGGCAGTGTCCATTCTCCAGGTGTTGGAGCCTTAGAGTGCAACACTTGTCCAATGTGTGGTATACTCATGGTATACCTGGTTTTGCTGAGGCTTTTTTTCTTATGGCCCCTGTCAGTGACTGGCATAGGGAAAGCTATTTTTGTTTGTCCGGTTCCTGGACAGTAAATCCAAGCATACCAATGCACAGTGGTGACATTGAAACCAATGATCAACGTCAAAAGTTCAAACTGGTTGACATAATCTATACCTTGAGTTCACTGAGTTCACATGGAGAGCTTGAGCTTGATGTTCATTTGCCTTGGTGGATGGCATGTGAAGTCAGGGTTCATGGTTCTTGCTTCTGGCTTCTTGAGCTCACCGATGGGAAAACCGTTACACCTGACGACATGTTTCGGGGGATGTGCTTTCCAACAGAGGTTGAAGAACCTTATAGTCTATCCCATGGGTACCTCAGAATGGTACTATTTACGGTCACTGCCTACCTCTCTTGGTTTTGATGTCCCACGATGGTCACGTTCTTCCTGTGGTACGGCCCTTTTTCGTTGTGAACCTGAAAAAAGCCCACGTTCTCTTCAGCTGTCATCAGTTGTCACCCGGCCCATGTATGGCCCATCCGTTTTCTACGACGACTTGAGTGACGACCTGTATGGACATCCATGGACATCCTTTCTTGTACAGTTCTCTTTTAGCTCACCATGAGATTTTCTCATCAATAACTGACAAGCCTTCATTCTTTGTTCCTAGTCTAGCAGTTCCCTGTAGGGGTGTCTAATTAATGGAGATATCCACTCACTTGGGGACCAAAAACAACCCCAACCAAACCCTATGGATCCACATACATTCTGAGAAGGTCCATAAATGGTCGGGCCTGGATTATGTCATGCTGAGAAGGTGGCAGTGGATCTGTAGGTCTGTAGGGTGAGATGTCTTCGCATGTCTTCGCCTTTTTAGCCGATTTGGATTTGCTGTCTGCCCCTTCTCACGCAGGATGGTCGTGGCCTCGGTGCCCTCGGCGCGGCACCTGCGCGGGCAACGGGGCGAGCTGAAAGTCACGCAAATGTTGGCGGGGATTCACAAGCAAGGAGAGCCCGGGGCCGTTTGTTCGACCGGGACGCGGACGCCGGGATGATGAGGTCGGGGAGGTTTGGGGGATGGGACGGGGAGGTTTCCGTCCCTACATGGGCAGGGTTCGCTTCAAATGACCAGGAAAGTGTTTCTTTTGGGTTTTACAGTAGTGAGTGATGCTACACAGGAAAGACGTTCAAACATGGATGTGGAACCAGCATCGACGACTTTCGTCTACTACAGGGAGGCTTCCACTTCCAGGATTGTTTCAGGGATGACATAGAGTTCTGATCTGATGGTAGGGACATTTCCTTATAAGAGAGATCGGCCACGATGTTTTCCCACTAACTGTGACTCAGTAATATGATTATATATATATAGTACATAACACTTACAGTAATGCTTTTACTTGCCCACTCGAACATACTAGGGCTGGCCAGTCCTAATGTGTCTTTAACTTTGTTGAAGTTCACCTTGGACCAGGCCTCAACAACATCGATCTACAACTTTTCGGCAGGCAAGCTTTAGGGAGCAGAGGATCGTTTTCCTTCTCAAATCAGTATCGGGATGTGATGTGTCTTTCTTGTAGTTTTCTAGTCAAATCACCAGGAGCGACTCGGAGCGACTTTCTACTGCCAAGGAAGGCTTTTCCTTGTCCCACACACTCCCTGCGTTCCTGACCTCCTGACTGACCGGTTCTGTGTTCGGAGCCGGGCCAGACCGATGAATCGGACAGGCCTGTGGACCTTTGGCAATGCGAGCTCGCCTGTGAATCGCGAGGCGGGAGCTGAGATCAGAGAGTGCCCGTGAGAGTAAAACCAGACCTCTTTGAGGGACGACTTGGACGAAGAACACAACCATCTGGTGTTCAGTTGAAGCACTTCGTGATTCTTGAGGTGCCGACAGGCATTTTGTGAGATTCTTAGATTCTTAGATGCAGTAGGGATCACTAGAGCTGGACACGAGTGCTTGGTTAGTTGAGTCCGGGGTCCCATGTTGGCAAAGGCGACCAGCCGACCAGGGGTTGTACTTGTGGCCTCCCAGCCGACCCAAATAAGTGCTGCGGTTCTGAATGGTTCATTTTGTTCATCCGGTAGAACTCATCGAAAGTTAGAGTTTGCATGATGACCAAAAAGGATGGTTGGATGTGGTGGGAATTAGCACCCCTGTCATCCCCATCCCCAAGAGGCTTTCCTCCGCAACCAGAGCTTAGGCAACTCCGGTGCAACCTCAATCTGCGAATCTGCGTAGCAGAAGGATCAATGTTGGTGAACTTAGGAAGCCGTTCAACAAACGGAGAAGCTCATTGGGATTCAAGAAAGATGAGATGGCTGTGGGTCAAAACATGGGGGATCAACCAACATCAACCTACAAGGGTTTGGGGGTGCCCTGACCCACTGCCGCTACCACATTGGTGTTGAAATTCTCTTGGGGAACCCAAGACTGCAACCACTTAGCCCCATGCCACAAGCCTGGTGTTCCTTCGAGTCTTGCAAATCTGAATGAGACTTGCTGTATCTTGCAACGTGATGATCCGCCAGATGGGTATGGGTCCAAACGGCTCCACAAACAGACAGCTCCAGCGTGGTCGACCTCCCTTGTAGTCCATTCCCGGCTCCTTCGCTCCACCCGGTCCCACCCGGGACCGAGGGGTCTCAAACAGGTCGGGAGTTGCAGGCCACCGGGCACCTGCACCCGCCGCAGAAACACCGAAAGACCGCCAAAGGTCCTGCAGAGCTCCTGCAGATGGTAGAAAAGTTCAGGATCCTCATAGTTGTTTTGTACCAGTTGAGAGAGTATAAACCTCCCCATGTAAGAAATGAGTGGTGTAGGGAAAGATAGAGGGTTTTTTACGCAACCTCAGTTGGGTTCTCCTAGCCACAGCCGACTTGGCTGGTTTGCACGGCCAGAGCGACAAAAGGTGTGGCCGGCTTTTCGCTTCATCGTCTCAGAGATGAGCAAGTTGGAACCCTTGTGTCTTTGAAGCATGACGGCCAGGGGGTGTTGGCTGTTGCTGGAGCATGGTCAATAGGGGTTGATTCAAGCTCTCAACTCCATTAGCAGCGCCTTTACGATGCCTGAAGCATGGTCCAGAATACTCTTCATGAGCTCTTCCAGCATGGTCGGTCGACGTCCGTGCAGCACAGGGTGGTGTTTTGCAGCACATGGTGGTCGACCTTTTTCTGGGACTTTTCCAGTGCTGCACACCATGAATTGGACCTCTCCAGGATCGGGCGAGGACACCGGCTGTTTGAACCGAGGCATCCCAAGCGGGTGAACATCTTCACTGCACTTGTGAAGGCATGTGAAGATTGCCAGCAAGTCCAAGCGCGGGACCGACCATGCGAAATTATGTGTGTGTGCGAGAGGGAGAGAGAGTGGAACGAACAGTGGGAATCCACATGCTCTATGCCCCTGCACACGAGTTTCTTTTCAGTGTCACCACTGGATTGTGGAGAGCTTCAGAGTCTTGAACATACCATGAATACCCAAAGGATCCCAAAGGAAGTGTGAACCTGTACCAGACTCACTTTTTCAAAACAATAGCCCAAAAACATATGTACAGACTGTGTCTCCCGCTACTGTACTTTGAATCGTTTCATTGACCTGTCACTTTCCACCTTCCACCAAGTCGGTGAGTGCGTCGGTGCATGGCGCAGCAGCTTCATGACACCGGCATAGGGGCCGGCATGAGACCCTCAGCTAACATATCCAGCAAGTTGACCAGTGAGTTTGGTTCATGTATCCAAGCTGTATCATGAGTCGGGTTAAGATCATTGTGATTCATTCCGACTCATTCCCGGACTTGTTTTCTTTTTACACACAGATCGCCGATCCACGGCTGTTGTCAGAGGAGATCTTGCGGATCTATGGCGATCTCACCTCACAGCACCCTGGCGGGGATCGGATGAGGTCCTTCCCATGGGGTCGGATGGTCTCCATTCGCAGTTTGGCCTTTCAAGCCTCGTGTTTCAGTGGGGGGGGGGCTCTTAAGTGTTCAAAGAGCACATTGCGGCATGGCCCTCATTGCTTTCTACTGCACCATGTCTTTTTTTCAGGAATTTCTGTGCCGCTTTTTCCCAGGGGTCACCGGGGTCACCCATGGACGACACAGTCGCGCTATTATGGGTCTCCCATGGTCTCCACCCATTGGACGATCCGGACGTTCTGCCCCACGGGTGTTTCTTCTTGAGTCCATCGGCACTGACGGTCGAGATGTTTTTGTTCCAAGACTGGGCCTTCCTCTCTTGAAGGTGCATCTCTCCAAGGCTCATCTCTGGTTTTTTGTGGGTTCAGAAAGTGTCTATATTGGGTTTGTCCTATGACCTGTGACAGTCAGTAAACAATTGTTACTTGTCACATTTTATTACTATTTTAGAGAAAGGCCTTTAGCAACCATTATCATCCACTCTTGCTGGTAGTAGGATAGACCCAATATGACCCAATATGTCTATAACATAAAACATCATAAGGCATCTATTTAATCTATTGTATGTCTCTACCTATGTCTAGCATCCTTGAACCATTTTTTGTGAGGGAAGACTTGTGAATCCGAATGAGGACTGAGACCTTCGAGCAGCAGTTGAAGTATTCCCTGATACGACAGAGCCTGGTCAACCAGGGTGGGGTGGAGGCAACCATTAGATTACATTCAGGATCATTCAGTGAAGGTATACCTTCATTTGAGACGAACTCTTCAAGTCATGGAACCTTCACGCCGTCTCCGGCGTGGTGAAGTTGAAGGCGTGAAGGCACGGCGTTCTCATGGTGAGACCGGTCACCCTAAAGGACGGTCCATTTCCGCTCCCGCACCAGGTGGGAGATGCAAATCCAGTCTGGCTCCCAAATCTGACCGTCTGGTGTTGGATTAGAGTGATGGATGGAAGAAAAGAGGAGTCCATGCGACAGCAGAGGGGATGGACGAGATGGTTTCAGACGACATTGGATCATGATTAGTATCATGATTCTGATTCTGAGAAATACCTCACTGAGGGGTTAAAGTGATTAGCAGATCTGACAAACCTCTCCAAGTCTTCAAGATGGAAACAGACGATATGTCATGCACCCTCAATGCTAGACTCCAGGTAGACTGATATTGCATGTGCCCCCTTTTTGGATCAGCCCACAAGTCTCCACAATGGTTTGAGATCAACGGAGATCAACGGGTCTTTTCTCGGTCAGACGACCGGTCAGGCGACGAAAGCCGATGACAGTGGTCCGATGCAGAACACATGTTTGCCGAATAGATCCGAACACTGTATAGATCCGATGATTTTGAGGGTGGCAACATCTCTTGGTTCTCAGAATGCCCCAAAAATGAGGAACTGGTCTTGATATGACTATGGGCGCGAAAACCAACATCACCTTTTGGCCTCGCGTTGTGCCGAAGCATGTGGTGCACAGCCCGGTGCAGTCGAACCATGTGCTCCCAGGAAGGAGGTGGCCTTGAATCACTTCATCACCCAGCAGCATACAGGCCCGGAGATGCCCAGTGGCTTGGTTGGTTTGTAGCCTTGTAGCATCTCACAATGCCAATGCAACTGGCTGGCTGAGTGAAATCATTTTGAACGAAGTGTTGAAGATCGTAAAACCATGTAAAACCCAACCAACATATTGCTGAGAGTCATGGCACACATGCAGATCAGGCCTCGGTCCTGTGGTTGAAGAGGTCCTTTTAATTATACTCTTGACTCTCGATTGATAACCCCCTTATGAAGAGGTTGTTCTATTCAATCAAGAGTTTACATTCCTTTCCTGTTTCTAAAAAAATGTTCCACGGAGTGTTTGGGTCTTATAGATTAGTATATGTCACCATGTTTGGTTTGACCCATGTCATGTCACCTTGATAATACCACGGTTCTTTTGCAGATCAGACCTGGGTATGTCCCATCAATGATGCTCACTGGTTTTGAACTGGGAGCACGTGGCAATGTAGCAAGCGATGTCCAGAGTCCAGGAGCCTTGGACAGTTCAGGTTCAGGGTTCTCATTGTTCTTCGGTGAACAGAACGTAAATAAAGTCGTCGTCGTCTTGCCCTTCAGAGACTTCGGCTGGAACTCCTACACCCAAAGTTCCCTGGAGTGAATTCGCAACCACACGTGACTCGGCCGGAGCATTTCCAGGCTGCGACTTGGATCACACGCAAGTCCAGCCTCATCAGCAGCGTGTGCCACTCGCCGAGAAAGCGGGGATTCGCTTGAACCACGCAGACGTCATGTGGTAGGAGAGTCCCTGGGTCCTGACCCACGCCAAATTTTGGAGTTTAGGCATGAGAGCAGATGATACACCATAACTAAAAGATGTCAGCAAAACCAGAGGCTCATGTATTTTTGAAATTGATGTTTGTCCAAGCTGCAAGATGATGCAAAACGAGTGTGCTAAATGAGTTGAGCACGTGTTGTGGAACCTTCAATTTTGTGTTTATTACATTAGTACAATTTTCCTTTCACTGCCTCTACAGAACAGGAGCCGCAGCTTTTCTTGATTCATCGCAAGTGATTCACGGGCAGACTATCTCAATTACATCATATACATGGGGATTGTTGGGGTACGTAGCATGTGTCCTGTGGATCAGGAGTTGGTATGTTCATTTTCGTCGATTGATTCTGTGAAGCTTCATTTTTACCGCTCGAAATCCAATTTTGAGTGCTCTACAACGAGCTGTATGTATGTGTTTGCCGTTTTCTTCATGAGACCCATGCAAGATACAGAAATCTTTTGTGGATTCTGTAGAGCCGAAAACCAAGGCTTTCTGTGTTTGAACAAATTGCCTTGTGCCAAGCCCGCCATGTCTTAGGAGTCACCCAGACTAGACCATCAATTCTGGTGCTTACAGCCCGTCTCACTCTTACGGCACCTGGGCACCTGGGCACCTGGGCCTCGCCCGGGTGCCGACCACCATCAACCAGTGAGGCACCTCTTCAGTGGATACGTGTCTCAAATCGGCGACAGCTTCGGCCTCGATGGACTGGATGCAGCGAAGAGCGACAAGTTCTTACCGAGAGTGCCTCGGGGCCGAAGCGGAGTCCCGTCGTTCTCGGCCTGGATGGTCATGAACGACCAACAGGGCGGTTGAGTGTGGTCCACAAACGGGGGAAAACCCGTTTAACAGTACTTAGGTAAATTGGAGAAAGGCACTGTTACTATTTGTTACTGGTACTTGGATATACCCAAAGTCGACATGGTTTCCAAAAGAACCACTTGACACTTCCGTTGAAAGGGTCGGTGGTCCACTTCTTTCAATGTTTTTTTTTCCCGAAAGCATTGCGAAGGGTTCTTCCGGAAAATCCTTTGAACACTGACACTTCGACACTTACACTTCGACACTCACACTGACACACACACACACACACACACTGGAAGAGCGAAAGCATCCAAGTGCGAAGTATGCCAGTGTCAAAGTATGCAAGTGTATAAGTATGCAAGCATGATATGCAAGCGTGAGTATGCAAGCATGCAATGACGATGCAAGCATGCAACAAGCATGCAATGAGTAGGCAAGTGTGAGTATGGAAAACTAGCACGGGAGATGTCCTAATGAAAAAACATTTCCCCACTTTATAAATTCTCTCTTAAAGGCGGAGGGTGGGACGAACAGCGTCAACCGAAAGTGCAACCCTCTGCGGAGATCGTGCGTGTGGAGTGCGCGAAATGCAGGCGAGAGTGCGATTTGTCCGGTCCGCGCGCAACCCTCTGCGGAGATCGTGCGTGTGGAGTGCGCGAAATGCAGGCGAGAGTGCGATTTGCCGGCTGTGCGCGCAACCCTCTGCGGAGATCGTGCGTGTCGAGTGCGCGAAATGCAGGCGAGAGTGCGATTCGCCGGCTGCGCGCGCAACCCTCTGCGGAGATCGTGCGTGTCGAGTGCGCGAAATGCAGGCGAGAGTGCGATTCGCCGGCTGTGTGCGCAACCCTCTGCGGAGATTGTGCGTGTCGAGTTCGCGAAATGCAGGCGAGAGTGCGATTTGCTGGCTGTGCGCGCAACCCTCTGCGGAGATCGTGCGTGTCGAGGGCGCGAAGATGAGAACTGGCGACTTTGTAGTACAACTTTAGTACACGGAGCAATCTGTGGAGCTGGAAGCTGAGAACTGGCGACTTTCTAGTACAACTTTAGTACGCGGAGTATCTGGGGAGCTGGAAGATGAGAACTGGCGACTTTGTAGTACAACTTTAGTACGCGGAGCAATCTGTGGAGCTGGAAGCTGAGAACTGGCGACTTTGTAGTACAACTTTAGTACGCGGAGTATCTGCGGAGCTGGAAGATGAGAACTGGCGACTTTCTAGTACAACTTTAGTACGCGGAGTATCTGTGGAGCTGGAAGCTGAGAACTGGCGACTTTGTAATACAACTTTAGTACACGGAGCAATCTGTGGAGCTGGAAGCTGAGAACTGGCGACTTTGTAGTACAACTTTAGTACGCGGAGTATCTGGGGAGCTGGAAGATGAGAACTGGCGACTTTGTAGTACAAGTTTCTGTGGAGCTGGAAGCTGAGAACTGGCGACTTTGTAGTGCAACTTTAGTGCGCGGAGTATCTGGGGAGCTGGAAGATGAGAACTGGCGACTTTGTAGTACAACTTTAGTACGCGGAGTATCTGGGCAGCTGGAAGATGAGAACTGGCGACTTTGTAGTACAACGGAGTATCTGGGGAGCTGGAAGATGAGAACTGGCGACTTTGTAGTACAACTTTAGTACGCGGAGCAATCTGTGGAGCTGGAAGCTGAGAACTGGCGACTTTGCAGTACAACTTTAGTACGCGGATGAGTCATCTCTCGCGGCTGAGTCATCTCTCGCAGCTGCTCTGACGCCCCTGCAGCTGAGTCATGTCTCCCAACCACCCGGCTCTCTTGAGAGGTTGACACACACACAGACACCCACGCACTGCCTCAACTTACTCGGAGACACACACAGACAGAGACTCATACACACACAGACATAGATACACACACAGAGACCCACACACTGCCTCAACTCACTCGACTTAACACTTCACACTGAACACTTACCAGATAACTCACACTCTGACTTCCTACGTGATGAAAAATGCTTTCGGGCCACTCGTCGTCTAGTTTTTTTAAAAAATTTGGCGGCGAGCGCACGAATGGGCACGAGCACGAGTGGTGAAGCACGACGTTCAGGTCTTGGAAGAGCTGGAGAGGAAGAAGACCCTGAAAAGCAAAAGGAGGTTTTTGCTACTTGGCAAGCTGGATCAAAACACTTGGCAAACACCTACCAGCCAGGTCAACCTTCCAAACTGGTTTGGAGCTCTAGGTTTTGAAGTTTTTGCCACTTGGCAAACTGGGTTCCCACCCCCTCCCTCTCCACAAACTGGGGCAGGTAGGACTGACCAGACTCTCCTCCTCGCAGGCCTGCTGAAGCGAAGCTTGTCCGAAGTGAACTAAGCAACTAATCCCATATGTTTCGCACATTAAAACCATATATATATACATATATATATATATATATGAGGTCAACTAATCCCATCAAATGAAATCAACTAATCCCATATATCAGTGTTTTTTTGGTTTTAATGTTTGTATATCGTGTTGTACTCATTTGTTGATCAGCGTGAAAGGCATTGAGAAACACTTCCGAACAGGCCCATGGGATGACCTGCAATAAGCAGCAATGGGAACTCAACCGCCCAGGTAACTGCATGGGAACATGTTGTTTAAAGCAATAGATGTGAGTTCATGTTTGATGGTGAAAAGTTGTGTTGTACACTTCTGATGGGGGATAGACATGTTGGAATTTGCCAAGATAGCACATACTATATTTAGCTTTGCAAATGTTCAAGTTTCTTTGAGCGTCGAAACCCAAGGCTTCTCCAAAAGAGGATTTTCAGATATTTACAGCGTTGCTTTCTTTTTTCTCAGCTAGGAGGAGCGAATGTTACAGTCACCTCTCTCACCCCGTCCACTGGGTGAGTTTCACCACGAAAGAGCAGGTCATTGGCCCCTTTGGTGCGGCACTGGACGGAAGATAAGAGTTTGGCACTAGACTTGAAGATACAAATTCAACAAACACAAAACTATAACTATAGTACATTTAGCTTCCAAATATCACCAATACTGGTTACGCACGAAGACCTACCAGAAAAGGATAGAAAAGGATTAGAAACATGGCCCACCCTGTAAACCCTGTAAACAACAAACATCCGCTGAGGGCACTAACAGAGTTCCGTCTCCCACAAATAAATCAATGAAAAAAGGCAGGGGATTCGTCCGAGACTCAACCAGAGGTGGTTTTGGTCATTGAGAAGGTCGGTCGCAGAAACAAACAGAGACTATCATTTGAGTGATTTGATGATCAGCCCACAGGGTACGGTTTTAGTTACGACCCTCCGGTACGACCCTCTTACAACTGCTAATGTTGGGGTGAGACTTCCGGAAAATGCAAAATTCCAAACAAAGTCTTTAGAACTTCTGGTCGACACACATCCTAATATACAGTCGTACTTATTATGTCATCCTATACTCACAGATTGGTCGCCTTTCGCGCGATTTTTGGCAAGGCAGGCGTTGGTTCGAGAGATGTCTGTCACCGAGCCTCACCTACACAAGAGAGGTGGATCTTTTGGAAGGGGTCACAAATCAGAACTAGAAGAGAAACAAAGCCTGGCAAAGCAGGCGAAGAGGCGAAGCACACCAGAGTGGCATTGCTTTGAACTAGCTGGTGGTTTTGCTATACTTGTAGCTATACATTGTTAGAGTTTTGTGTAGCAACCGAAGGAGAAATAAACCAATTGTGCTGCCCTCAGCACTTTGAACATCCTGCTTACAAATGATGTCAATCAGTGTCAATCCCATTCCGTTTTCACTCGGGATCCAAATCGCTTCCGATTTCTCATCAGTTTTGTGCCGGACTTGTTCCAGATCTCGGCCGGTCTCTCTGACTCCTTTGCGCGTTGATCCATTGGCAAAAGGGTTTGACCGATGTGCTTGTTCTTGGACTTGGACTGATGATGCAATGGAACAACAGTAATGTCACCTATATAACTAGATCGTTCCCAACAAATTCAAATGGAAGAGTTGTTCTTGCCGCATGACTTGACCACATCCTTCCCGAACAAAGAATGTGCGTCGTCCTGTTGCGCATGAACGTTGGGAAGGTAGGTGGAACTTGATTCTTCATGTGCGGCGGTCCACTCGACTTGAAGAACCGAAGAACAAAGCAAGTCTGTCCGCAGCAAGTCTGCAGCCCAGGAATGGCTACAAACCTTACTTGCAGCATTTTGGCCTGCGTTGGAAATCGATTGGACGTAGGGATCTGCGTTGGAATCCATTTGTTTTCGGTCTGTCATGATAGGACTCAGATGCGTAGGACAGTTTCTACAACCTGGAGTGGGGGGCAGTGGAAGGGAGGCATACTTGGACCATGCAACGGTATGGTAGTGGATCGTGTATGGTCATGTCAAGACATGTCAAGATTTTGGAATTCATGTTTCTGACCTCCTAACTCCCAATGAATTCAGCCCACGAGCTAACCACTGGTGCCCCAGAGCTTGCAGAACTGCGCCCACAGCTCTCGCCCCCGACACCGAGGACATCAACAACCAATCGGTCGATGCAGACCGACTCATCAACCGCTCCGGCATTTTCCAGTGGGTTCAGGAGCGGTGTCCGTTCCGGCTCGTCCGCGGTGGACGATCATCCCTTCGGATCCGGAGAAACGGAGGATGTGGACGAGCGAACGGCAAGCCATCGATGACCTGGGCGAGCGAGCATTGGTCCAATGATTGGTTTGATTTTGGGGACCAATGAGGTATTGCACATTTGGTCTGATTGAGAATTACATATGTTTTTATATACTATCCCTAAGGATCCAAGTGCCCTCTGAGAAGGTGTTTGGGGTGGGTTTGGAGGGTCCAAGTCCCTTTTGAGGAGGTACTTGGATCCCTAGGGTATAGTAGTTGTTGTTTTGTCGGTTCTTTGTCTCATCTTCACTGGGGCAGCCTTCCCCCCCCACGCGCCCAGACCTTGAGGCGAACCTCAGCGTGGAAGCCGCCCATCGGATTTTCTACGATGAGGACCGTGCAGAGGAGTTCAAGGGACAAGCGGCTCGTCGTATTTTGTTCTTTTTTGGGGCTCGTGGGGCTCAGGAGGCCCTGGCACCCACCCCAACCACCTTCTGAGGATGTGGTTGCCCCAGAGTTGTTTCTTTTTGGGAGCCTTCTCACAAGGTCAAAGGGAGGTTGGGAGAGAGGATCGGTTGAGTTATGGGCCCAGCTTGCTAAGGTAGGGGTATGTTCACCAGGCCCCAACGAAGGGAGTATGGGACCTTTATGAAAGCTGCATGACTGCGAGACTTGGTGAAGGTCTGATCACCGATATTCCAGATGTGAGGAGGGGTCAATGATGGTCAATGCAAAGTCCACCCAAGGATTTTTGGTCTATTTCCCTTCTACCTGGTCTTCGGGAGGTTGTCCTATTTCAATGCACACCCAGATGAATCATGCGACCTGCCGCTACCTAACAACCCCCCCATGATCACGCGATGAATATTCGGGTCCTGGCGCGCTCAAACGATTGGACTGAGCGGGACAGGATGGGGCCCCACCTGGGACATGATCTGTCCAGTTGTTCAGCTGGTCAGCTTTGCACATTTGATTCTAAGGATCAAGAAACCTCATGAGGCGAAGTCTTTAGAGGCTCCAAGCTCTTTTAGGGTCAAATCGAACCATAGGACCACCTCACACTCAGGGTAGGATATATTTTTCGTCCAAAACAGGAGTCCAAAGGTGTTAAAATCGGATGTTCAACACCTCGTTGTCGTGTGAACCCCGCAGAATCGGGTCGGTCCAACGACACCGTCGCCCAGGATCCGGAGAAGCCCGAGCCGGCGAACCAGTATCAGCCCTTCCTCAGTGGTGGGGGCCTCCCATCTCTGCAGACAGACTATAGCTCTACTTAAGTCTAAGCAACTATCTTATAATATCTTATATATAGGCCCATACAGATCTGTAAGTACCAAACATGAAGGACCGGTGTTTCAACACTCATCTCGCATTTCTCTTTCGACTCACCTGACACTTCTCTTTCCGCAGCCATCGGCTCGAGCAGCCAAGTGCGCCGGGCCCAGCGCGATGCCCCATCCGCCCAAGGCGATGGGATCGCGGGGTGTGAGCCCTGGCAGAAAGGAGGAGCTGCAGTCTTCGGGCTCTGCTGTCGTGACGGGTGAGTGGGGAAGCTCTTCGGGTTGGTGATCAGACTTAAAACATGCTATAAGCTGTGATTTGGAACTGCTTCATAAAAGCCTTCCCCTTTCATGACCGAATGAACACCCCCGTGGTCAACGCGACGCAGGAGGAGAGTCCGGCGAAGAAGTCCGTGCGGATTGCGCTCAACAGCGAAAGCTCGGTACTGGGCCGACGCAGCGAAGATGAGCCAATTGGAATGTTGGCGTCGCGTACCACCTCAGGTGCTGAAAGAGCCAGGGTGCTGTGTTTGAGGGTTTGATGGTTCATAACCCGTGCCGAAGAATGGGTTGATCTTGGTTTTGTGGTCTCAAGATGTCTAAAGTCCTTCTGTTGATTGGAACTTAAGATTTTTCGAACTTCACAAGGTTCTGGGAATCCCATGGTCCAAAAACACCAAAACACAGCACAGCGCTCCACAGATCAACATCCGGACACATGTGAGACATGTGAGACATCAGCTAATGGTCCTCTTCGAGCCTTGGACCTAATGGACTACCCTCTCTTCCCGTTTGGGCTCCTGGCCCACCGTTTCGAAGGTGGTTGGAGGAGGTGTTCCGGGGGGGGGGTCGAACTACCTTCTGAGGATGTGGGACAGGAGCCCTACACATATAATTGCAATATACTTCAGGAGGATTAGATTATTTTTAGGGGCTTCCGCAACAGCGGGCCAGGGGGCCCAGTGGCAGGCAGAGGCAAACAGGTGAGAGTGGTGGTTTGTTGTTGTGCTTGTTGGTGGTGTTGTGGTGGTGGTCGTAGTTATTGTGGTTGGCGTTGTGGTTGTGGCTGTTGTGGATGTTGCTGTCTTTGTTTTTTGGTGGTGGTGGTGGTGGTGGTGGTGGTTGCCTTGACCAGAAACAGAAACATCAATTGCCAATAATGTACGGCAACATGGGCTGCATAACTGGCATCTTGAAAGAAGGGGGTACTTGTCCTGCGGGCAGCGGTGGATCCTTCGGGCTTACCCAGGGTCGCTGGCGGTTTGATGTTTCAAGAGGATTATGTAAATTATTTCTTTTGAAAGCTGTTCAATTGCATACTTCAAGCTTACCTACATTCACCCTGAAACCACTCCAATGTATGTAAATATTGCATTTCTGGCGTGTTGGGAGAGTTGACCATCCGCCCTAGGATTCTCGCCAAAAAGGCAAACACTGCGCAGATCTCGCGCAGGTGGGATGGAGATGGAGCACATCGTCCCAATGGTGGACGCCCTGAAGACGACGCCTCGCCCGGAGCTACGTCGGGGTGCCGAAGCCTCACAGCTGCTGCAGTGCTTTGGCCGGGCGCTCTGGAGCCTTGGTTTGGGTCTCCTTTGAATTTGTCTATGTATTTAGTGTATATTTATTTGTTTACTTCCAAGGCGTCACTTACTTATATAGTGGATTGAGAGGAGATGGCACAATTGGCGCAATCCCCAAAAGGTAGTCCATCTACTCTGAAACCAAACGGCTTCTGAATCGCCGAATCTCTCGCCGCAACGGGGGCCCTGCGGGGCGCCAAAAGCACTGCTCAGGAGTCGCCCTCATTTCGAGTATAGCTTCCAGGTCCAGCACTTCTGCGTATTGTTTGACAGGTAGACGCACAAGAACGAACCCCCCTCGAAGTGAAGAAGGATGAGGTTTGGAATCCTCCGTAATTATGGAACCATGTAGACCAATGTAGACTAGAATTTTCAACTTTAGATATAATATAGGTGTTTCCAGATGTAGACTTGTTTTTTACAAAGCCCACATCCTCATTTTGCTGAAGTGGGGCCCTTCTGTGAGTGTACCAGTACCTTGCTATTCCATCAGCTCCGGTTTGCTCTTGCAAATGCACAAGGGATTCCGAAGGATGATGTTTCATGATGTTCCATGTTCTTGAACCCGGGACCCCAAAGACCACACAGAATCAAAATCGAGGCGTGGCGTAGAAGAGTCATGTCAACTAATTGTTTGGTGCTTTCAGATACCTTTTCAACCTTTACTTGGGATGATGGAACCCACTGACTGATGTTTTTATAGTGAGTTAAAACCATCAACCAGGGGATTTGTCCGGTCTCGCTGACCCTGAAGAAGACTATAGGCAAGTGCGAACTGAGATGTCCAGCCGTCAATGGTGTGTTTGTTTTATTTCTCTAGGTCAGGCCCACGACTGTGACTGGTCAGAATGGTGTCAGGAGCCGTATATGCTGGGAAGATGTCGATTTGTGATTTGGCTCGGTTCCCACGAAGCCACTCACGAAGCCTTCCTTTGAATGGAGACGAAATCATCCAGGCGGTCGAAGATGCCCCGAGAATTTGTATCCTTTAGTTCTACCAAAAAGCGCCAAGCAGAAAGAATTTCACCCTGGGATGCCAAAAACATCCAAAAACCGCCAGGACCGATTTCCTGGATCTGTTCCCTCGATTTGACCCCTCGACGTGTCCAGATTCGATCGCGGTGGGCAGGTGACCGAGATCGACGACTATTGGTCCCACAGCTGGGGCGACCTGGCGTTGTTTCGACATCGGAGCTTGTGGTACAGGTGGTCGGCTCGTTCTTCAAAGCAGATCCAGATAGATTCAGGAGTTCCCAATAGTGACCTAGTTGGACCACGGTGCATAGTACGTGTTTCGCAACATTTCCGTGTGCTACTTACAGTAACCGTTTTCTTCATGGTCACTGGGGAGAGCATCAGTGCTCTTTAAGTGCTTTCTATGCATGTTCAAAGTGGTTTTATGCATTTTGGATGCAGGCATCACATTCATTGTTACACACTTTCTCGGCGGAGTGGGTTAGTTGAGGGATGCAATTTGCATTATCACCAGTGTGAAGATTAATGACTGCTTTTTGCACACTTGTACACTCGATTCTGGAAACTGGAACGCTTGTGGATGAAACGACACTTTGCGAAAACTCGATTCCGGAAAGACTAACACTACAATGTCACGCAGGTGAAACAACAGTTCCTGTAAACTCGATACTGGACACTCGAACACAACAATGTCGGGCAGATGAAGCGACAGTTCATGCAAACTCGATACGCCCAAACACAACAATTTTGTGCAGATGAAACAACAGCTCGTGTAAACTCGATTCTGGTCACAACAACTCTGTTTGCAGTTTCATGGCTCGCTGTTTTCTTGTTACTGTTTTTTTTTCTTTTGTTTTGCTTTAGCTCTTCTTGTTCACTTATATATAATTGTCCTCCGTCTTGTTTGGGGGGTCCATACACGTCTAGTTCTTCAAGACTAAGACAGATCATGGGGCTGCTACAAAGAAGCGACTGTACTTCTCATAGCCCAGTCAGGTTGGGGCCTCAATGACACAACTTCCACAAAAACTTCCAGAAGCATCGGAAACCAAGTAGGGCTATTATATGAAGGCTTACAACATCTCCAAGATCTAAAATTAGCGATCCCCCACGGCAAGCAGTTCAGCGATGTTCATAAATATGCTTGAGGTGGGTAGCAGAAGCAGTAGAAGTTAGAAAGCCAAGAGCAGCAGTCGCTTCTTTGAAGATTCCAGCAGCCAGGTTTGTGAGACGGCACCGAACGCCCGCATAGGAATGCGGCAAGGGTACCACAAACATCCACAAAGGCGACCAGCGAAGCAAGCAAACCGTCACACACCTGAGATCACCTGAGCAACCAGATACGTAATACTCATCAATCCACGCAACAAGCTGGTGAGCAAAACGCAATGATCAGCAAAACCCCTATTTTTATCTATTTATATATCAAACATATCCACTTGGATCCACCGACCTTGCTCCATCCAACGACCTCGCTGGCACCAAAACCCTGGAAGACACCTGAATTCGGACCACGAATGCCCACACCGACCTCCCCGGCGGCAAACTCTCCGGAGCGAGGAGAGCGAGCTTGGAAGAAGGTCCTGGTGCTCCTGTGGCTCCACAACGGCCTCTCGCGCTTTCCAAACAAAGTGGGCGGGAGAAAGTGGTCGAAACGCGGAAATAAGAGAACAAAAAACATGCTGCATGTAGAAACGAATTCACTTGACGACGGTTGATGACGAATTCACCCCCGCTACCCTGGATGGTGAACCATCTCCAAGCTTTGAGTGATCAGTGAACATTCGTGCTTACCCCAGATGCGGTTGACGGAAAGAAGAACGCGGTTGACCGCGGAGACGCACGGTACCCCGGTCATTCGAAGACGGGCGTTCCCGGGAGTCGACCATTCTTAAGAGACCTTGAGGAAAGGTCTGGTGGCCTATTTGATGTGGTTGCGGTTGTTTAAGTACATGTTTTATTTTTTTCATGTGTAATGTTGGATCTTGATTAGTAAAAGGGGTTCCCCCCCCCTCCCTCAAACAAATGGGAGACCCTCTATAATAAACTACCACTAAAACACATCTGGGTTCCTAGGAGGATTTCTTTTTGTAGTTGATTGTAGTATTTATTTTCCTTTCTCTCTTTGTAGTAGCAGTAGTAGTAGTAGTAGGAGTAGTAGTAGTTGTTGTTGTAGTAGTAGCAGTAGTAGTTGTTGTAGTAGTAGTAATGGTAGTTGTATTAGTAGTAGCAGTAGTTGTAGCAGTAGAGCTCAGCTGCTTTTGGTGGTGGTGTCCAGTGGAAAAAAGACTTTTCACAGTTGAGAACCCCTAAAACAAATCTATTGTTGATGATCGGGTGCCTTCCTGGTCTACTACCTTGAAAATTTGTGTAGGAGCAATGTTCACATCAAGGA